CGGCTCGCACCCTTCCACAGGTGAGTCTGAGCCTCCAGCACAATACACTCCATTTTCCAACAAACTCTTCCAGCAATAAGATGTCTTTAGGACATGGGATGGCAAACGCTCCTGAATCCATTGACAGTCTGTCCCCACGAAGGAGGGCTGTATACTGGCAACCACACCCTGTTTGGCCATGCGATTTATAAGATCTTCTCCCAGAACCTGGCAATGCGTTATCACAGGTCGGGCACCAGGCTTAATCCGGGCCCGTTTTAACGCCTCGAGGACAGTGGACAAAGCCCGATCCCCTATTGCGTGCACCTCTAGCTGAAACCCTGCCTCGTGGGAATGGCAGATCTTTGCTGCAAGATCCTCCACATTGTGGATGAGAAGCCCCCTGTTTGTGCTACCTGGATAAGGAGAACGCAATGCGGCCGTTTCAGCGCCCAAAGAACCGTCCGAATAAAGCTTGATACGCCGACAGGTGAATAGAGGCGGCTTGCTATTGAGGGTGTGGAAATTGGGTTGCTTTCCTTCTTCTTCAAACTCTTCATAGTTGATCGTTAAAAAAACTCGCAATGGAAGCTCTCCCTTGGCCTCCAGATTTTGGTAGATATTCCAAGCTTTGATGTCATTCGTCTGAACCGCGGTTAGCCCTGCCCTGAGACAATTGTTCAGCGCATTTCGAATATAAACTTCGCGCAACTTTTCATTGTTTTCCGCAATATGGTTTGTGATGAGAAGGACAGCTGTTTCTCTAAAGATGCCTGTCGGAACTCCTGAGGCATCAAGGTCAACGCCAGAGAAGTGCTGCTAAGATGTGAACGAAGGGTAGTTTCAAGTGAAATTAAATGTAATGATTAAAAGTTACTTCATAAGACAAGCCTGAGATCGCATTAGTTGGTTGCATGATTTTTTTTTTACATAATTTCCATTTATTTAAATCCTGAAACAAATAATAGCCATGCGTTGTCCAGGCAAGAGGACAGGGAAACACACGGATTCTCTTGTCAGCATCTCAAGTATTACAAATGCTTACCTCATTCGTCGGTGTGAGCCGGATTCCAGCCCGTTGTAAGGCGGCTGTGTTAGCAACAACGATATGCCAGCATTCTCGGTATAATACGAGCGGTCGCTTGTCCTCTCGCATCGCCTCATCGAGGACTTGCCTGGTAGGGTAACAACCTCCCCAACCTGACTGATCCCATCCGACACCGATGATCCAGCTTTTCTTCGGGTTTTCCTTACCATAGTTTCGGACTGCAGTACTTAGATCATCAAGACTACGAGTTCCACGCAATTGCAAGTACTCGCAGGCCTCCCCCATGTATCCCACATGTATATGCGAGTCAATCAAGCCAGGAAGCAAGATGTTGCCCTCGTTGCATTTCATATCGATAACTCTCGTTGCCTGCGCTTGGGCCTGCTCGTAGGCCGATCTTTGATCATCTATACATAAGTTGTCTTCGCAGAACACTGTGTCGAAGACTCCCCGCACATCGTCGATCAGGCACCAGCCTTCCGCTAAGCGGCCCGAGAAGGGGAGCGTGTCGGGATCCCATTGCCAAAAGCAGGCATTTTTTAACAGCAGCATGGTTTTCACTGGAGGATAATGTACAGATGTAGACAAAAAAAAACAAGTGGAAGCGTTGACATTGTATAATAGCCTCAACATTCTTTGTTTCGGGGGGTAAAGACAAAGGGTACCCAGGGGGGGTCAGGAGGTTTGACAGCGACTTCACGTCACGTCCACGGTGGAGCGCGCGGGTCAAGATACCGGCCTGCTTATTAAATGGCAGTGAGACTCGTACTGATGGGATAGTGTGTGGGCCTAATAAAATTATTCAAGTCGTATTTCAATATTTGAATATATCATCTCATAGTTGGCAGACCTTGCATGGTTGTGGAGCGGTTTTGGCAGCGGCAGCAGGTTTTTTCGACTCCTTCAACAGCCGTGTCGGCCTACGACTATCACGATAAGGGTAGGTATCTGGGAGGATAAAACGTGTGTATGGTGGCTTCTTGCATCTTACAGATGTTTTATTCTACTAGAGAATAGGTGTATATTACCGTATTGAGGTTTTTCCCCTTTTGCTGGCTCGTTCTTATCGCCTGGTGGAACAACAGGGGATGGCACGAGCGCGGAGTCTGTATGACATGGGCGTCTGGTCAATAACCACACGCGATGAATACGTCAGCTTTCTTCAGTCAAAGAAAAATCTCTCAAAGGCCTCCATTCATAGCTATTGTTGGCGGCTTGAAACGCTGTTTCGTGCCCTGATGACGGGCAAGCAAAAGCAAGGGAACTTAGATCGAGGCCAAATAAGACAATTAATCGAACATAATTTGGAGGAAGCAGAGCGCCTTGTGGCTCAAGACGACCGCCGTAGCCATTGGTGCTTGCTTAAGGAATTTTTAGAGCTGCCATCTGCTCCTTTATGCGCGGGCGAGAGAGGAAGAGATGAGCAGCTGTTGGACAGTGTACGGGGAGTGGGAGAGGACGAGGTACGCTTTCCTGTCCATACTCTTGAGAACGAGGCAAATAAGCACAAATCCATTTCACCGAATTCTTTTCGAAAGAGAAATGGAATGATGGCAGCATCAAAAGGGAAGCACGAAAATAAGGTTTGGGACATGGAGCTCAAGAAGGACTACAGGACTTGGCTGAGAGAGCGCGGCGTGAAAGAGAGGACTTGCGGGTCATACTGCACATTCGTGCATAACCTTCTGCGAGCATTAGCAGATGCACGGAAGCCAGTGCCATATAGGAGCCACCGGCAGCAAACCACCACGATACCTATCACATTACTGCCTACATTCCCACAATCACGCTTGTCACACGAAGAAGGAAAAGAAGAAAGAAAACGAGAACAACAGGAAGAGCCCTCTGTATTAGCCATGCAAGACCAGGAGCACCATCAACAGCAAATATCCTATCAGCAGCCTCGTGCTGGGCAGCGTGAATGTCTACATGAGGGGCTACAAAGCGGTAACGCCATTTTATTGCTTGCTTCTCATGAAGACTCGGCAATTGGGGATGCATATTGTTATCGCGGCGACAGAAGTGGACAGGAGGCTTCCGAAGACAATTTAAGAGTGGCAGAAGACAACGAAGTAGTCGCAATGGAGGGCGGTGAAGCGGGGATTGTTGCGCCCCGGCGGGAGGGATTAAACAGAGGGGAGCTGATCGAGCTACTGGATGAGCAACAAGAAGAGGCGCAACGCATTGTTCGTCAGTCTAAGAAAAACCGCTATCTACGGTCATTTCGAGAATTTTTGGGCATGAGTAACCATGACGATCACATCGTCAAAAATTCTAGGCAGTGGACAGATCGAGTAGGAGGAGCTTATAAAAAGTGGATCGGAGCTGGGGGTGCGAATTGTCCACATGCCCGCACTCGAGGTTACGTTGGTGCAGCTCGAAGTATTCTGCGGGTCATAAAACGGAAAGGATGGGTCCAAGAGGCGTTCGGAGGGCCTCCGCTCACCAGCGCTGATATTTGCTTGGCCATTGAAGCCCATAAAGAGGAACTGCAACAGATTTGTGACAAGGCAGATGATGAATGCCTACAAGCATTTTGCCGTTATTTGCGGCGACCGGAAAATAAGGGAGATGGCGAAGAAGAGGAAGAGAAGGACTTCCATTCTTCTCCGGCAGTCTCATCGCTTGGGATAGGAGCCGAGGACGATGAGGCTGCTGAAGATATGGGAGATCATAAAATTGGTACTAATCCCCCTACTGCAGTCAAGGGACTCCATGAACTGACATCGACGAAGGCATGTATTCATCGTCCTCTGAAGTCAGACGCGGGCATCGGGCACATGAATCGTGTTGTTCAATCTTCAGAACACCCCGCAAGATGCGGGGCTGAAGAGGAGACTGTCGATAATCAGCAGCACGAATGGCCGATTTTTAATTCAGTGGGTCACAAAAGAAAGCGACCGGATACAACCAGGGAGCAAGGGATGGAACACCGTATCAGATCACTAACACTCGACCTAGAATGTAAGACACGAGAACGCAACGCGGCACTCGCGCGCATACATGCGCTAGAGCTAGAGATACAGCATTTGCGAGATCGCTTTTTGAGTACATCAACTCCGCCTGTCTCGGCTGTACAAGAAGGACCTACCGAATGTCAGCAACAACATACACGTGGTGTGGAGATGATTTTAAACCATCCCGGGGACACAGAACAGGAAAATATAGGCGCACCGGGAGCTGCAATCACACACAGTGTACCAGGCCATACTTGTGGAGAACGTGAGGGAGGCATTTGTGCAGATGATAGAGTGGTAGAAACGAACGCAAAGGATGAAGCTGTGTCCTTCAGGAACAAGATGGGACGAGAAGGTGAGAGAGCAGAGGGTGATCCCGGCTTTTTGTTGCTTGAAGCTGATGCACATTCTAATTGGCAACGTCGAGACCAGTATGATCAGCTTCAGCGCCGACAGTCAGTTGCGCTACCACGCGCTGGGGTTGACTTGACCGATGGAAAACCCCAGGAAGAGGACAAGAGGCAGCGCTGCGTCTTCCGACACCTCGTTCAGCACATCGAAGTACATGATCAACGGAACGCTTGCGACCATCAGGACATGCACCTAGATGATGGAGAGGATCAGGACCATCATTTACGCATCGTGGGAGAACGAGAAACGGAAAATCTTCAGCATCTTCATGACGCTTCATTTGCATGCTCCCTCGGCCTTCGTGAGATGGGAGAAGGGAAAGGAGATGGGGTGGAGAGCCGGGACTGTGTGGGTCATAATTCTCGCATGCACACCATTGCCACGCTGGGTCTTGCATCCGACATTACGGAAAGGGCAGGTGTGGAAGAAAATCACACCATTCGTCAGGGATGGTAGAATGCCCATGAAATCTAGAGCAGTCGTACACAGATATGACACGCGATAAGTTTGAAGGATCATCGCGAATCAAAGTAGGCCCACGCACATTGTTCTGTCGAAAATTAGAGAATATTTTTCCGACGTTGTGCGCTAAGTACGATAAAGAATCAAGAGTCAAAGCATAAGTGTTACAACGCATCCTTTGTCTTCGAAATTTATTCTTAGCCTGTAAGACATTGCTTGAGCTAAACAGTTTCAAGGACGTATCCCAAGAGTCAAACTCTTTATCTTCAAGTTATTATTCGAGCAATGCAGTACAGGACAAATGAGAAAGAGGTCGCGCACCTATATGCTGACAACTTCAGGTTGAGAAAGCAGGAGGGATGGAATTAGGCCACCATTCGATCGCGATGCCCGAGCAATGCCGTGGGGTGAAGACCAACGAGGAACGTGACGAAAATAGAGCTGGCGTTCAGCCTCTGATAGCCGACCCACAAAAAACGAGGGGCCCATTTGTCGGCAAAGCTCAGCTATGCATACCATAGCCGCATGCCGTGTCAAGGGACTGGCCGCGGGCGAGGCGAGGGCACTGAAAAGCGCGGGTGTGAAGAGATCTAAGTACCGCCTCAAGGTCGGCTTGCCCAAGCGCTCTGTCACTCGAGGTAGCATTCGCCAGAGGCTCTGACGCAAACGATCGGCGCTGTAGAAATGACGCAGACCGCCTAACTCCGCTAGGACAGGCAAATATCTGTCTGCAAATGTGCTTCCGTATACGGCGTCAATCTGTGGTAGGAGATCTTTTGAGCATAGTTCAACAAAGATGTACAAAGCGCCTTCAGACACTTCCCAGGGCTGAGCTGCGTAACGATACGCAGACATATCTACGTCGGTCTGCAAATTGACCCCCGACGGAGTTGCACGAGGATGTAAGAGGCCTCCACAACAACCGAATACAGGCCCGCCCGTGTGAGCCTGGGCATCATTGAAGCGTCGCAGCTGCTCTTCTTCGGTCTCCACAGGTTGACGGCGAGCGGCATCCAGTGTGGCTTCAAGACGGGTGATAAGGCATTGCTGCATTTTTGTTTTTTCCCCATATCGAGTCATGGCGGCTAGTGCCCATGCAGACTCTTCGCGAATGGACCACGATTCATCTTCTAATCCAACAAAACAGACGTTAACAGCATCTTCTCGTCGTGACATGACAATCACGGGAAATTTTTGTGAAAGTTGAGCAAAGGCGACGTATCCTGCCGAGCGAAGCTCCCAGTGCGAAGCCCGTAAACAGGGCAGGATCCCCCGCAATATTTGATTGGCGAAAGGTGAAGTTACCTTTTCATCGATCTTTTCCATTAGCTCCTTCAGGGCATAACACGCGGCGACCTGTGTGAAATGGCTGCGTCCATGCTGAAGTGCCCGACAATGGCAATCAACCATTTCCTTCACATATCGCGCGACAGCCTCCCGCCCGCTTCCAGCGCTGCCTGCGTCATCCTTCCCTTTGTTTGCGGCTGCAAACAATTGAGTCCAGGTCTCCTGAGCTTGTACCTGAACACCCTCAGGTGTATAGTAGCGGCACTGACAAAGTGGAGGAAGGAGCTCGGCGAAAAGATCTTCGGCATCCACACCAACATGGTTTGTAGCCGTTAACAGAAGACTACGAGTCGCAATGACAGCCGCATACACTACTTGCGGCCAGGCATCTGCCAAGCCACCTGCTACGACAGCAGCCAGCCTATTAAAATCTATGACTTTCCCACAAGAAGCGCTGTCGCTGATACATACACAACGATCGACCACCACCCGAGCCATGTCCATAGCCGCCTCTCTGACATAACGATTTGAGTGCTCAGCTGCTGTAAAAACCGTCTTGTTGAGCCATTCCGGAGTGAGCAAACTACGCCGAATCAGTTCAGGCCCACAAGCTTCAACCACCTCACGCAAAGCCATAAGAGAGGTTTCCAGTGAACGCCAGCCGCTTACATCGTCCATAACAATGTTTTTTGTTACACCCAGCTTTGCCCGCCGCGTCTCGGTAATACGCCGCGTGATATTCGCATCCACACTGGCCCACAATTGCCCAGCAAAGCGCGTATAGGCGTCCGTCCCCACGGATGGGAGGGTGCAGAGCAAACCGAGCGTCTTGGCGACCAGGCGCCTCACCCTGGGCTCATCATGCTCCAAATGAAGTGCGATCACCGTCTCAACTGCATTGCGGAGCACTGGCGAGACGGCAGGGGCAGGAGCCGTGTGTGCTATGGCGTCGTTGAAGACCAGTAATGCCACGCACAAGCATTCCCACCGTGCCTCCTGTCCCAAAGTCATTAAGATCCGCAGAGGTTCGTCGACGTCCGTCAAAACAAAATTTGGTTTCGCTATAAGTTTGGATGATAACAGTTGAGCGACGGGCAGCAGGGTCGACAGCTCTGAACCCGTGGTTTCTTGTCGAAGCCGCTTTACCAGGCAGCTTGCGGCTTTCAAGGACGACGAAAAGTCCATCTTTTCCTATCTTTTGTCGGGGGGGGGAGGAATTCTGGAAAGAGATAATTCAAAGGTCAACTCCATTTTTTAACTTCCTTGAGCATGTGACTTTTTCCGACTCAGAGCTTTTGCTTGGGCACTGAAAAGACGCGTAAAGTACCGAAGACCTGCGTGGTTCCGCATCACTTATCAGATCATGACAGCAACGGCATCATCGCGACATTAATCGTTAATAAGCGCACCGGTGAGGAAAAACAAATGAACCGACAAGTCGACGCGACAGTCATGCGACGTCCTGCTGAGCTCGGCTAGCAAAGAGCCGAGGCAGGCTAGGACATGGCGTGTAAGGCGCTTACGAACATGAGCGACGCGGCGGGGCGCTAGAGGATGAGGATCAGGGGCGAGGGCGGGGCGTGGGCGAGGAGGAAGGGATCGTCCGTGGACTGCCCGAGCTCGCCCACCTGGTTGGCGCTCTAAGATACGCTGGTCTCGCAGGTGTGGATTATCGGGTCAATCCAGACTGAACGAAGGTCGTCGCACCGACAACATGGTCTGGAGATTTAGAAGCTATCGCATCGGATGCACCGGACTCTTGTGGAGAAGACAGGCTTACCCATCCCTCTATCGTTCCTGTGCGTCACTGTGTATTGTCTGTGAGTGGTGTCAGAAATCTGCTGGGCCTCGGCCGGTTCGACCTCATGATATTTGAGCCTTGCACACCAGGTGCATAGCGGGGTGTTTTTTAATTGCTTATTGACAGTGATTTCAGTGTGGCCCCAATTTTGTGCGGGCAGGAGGCGGTCGACGAATGGTGCACGAGTGATGGATGAGCAAGAGTTATGACGAAAGCTCACTTGGGAAACTACAAGAGGCACATCATGTCGATCGATGTTTTGCATATTTCACTTTCTTAAGTTGCTAAAATGCCTCTTGATTATTCCCGGGACGGGCGAATTAATACAGCTTGGCAACGCGCAAGTATGAAGACTGCTTTTGTTCTCGCTACTTTCTTCTGTGGCGTCCACGGATTTTTGGTGCCTGGCATCCCTTCTGCCTCAGTGGCGCGCACCAACAGCGGGCGAATCGTCACCAAGATGGCTGAAGCGGTGGGTGAAGAGCCCTTTGTTCCTGATATGGACCGGCGCAAGCTTATGAACACGATCCTGTTGGGCTCTGTGGGCCTGAATGTGGCGGGTCTGGCGGTGCCCTACATTGCCTTCTTTGTGCCCCGCACAGGTGGTGGGGCCGGTGGGGGGCTGGCAGCAAAAGATGCACTTGGAGATGATGTAACCGTGCAAGGCTGGTTGTCGACACATCAAGCGGGTGACCGAAGCTTGGTGCAGGGCCTGAAAGGCGATGCCACCTATCTAATTGTGAAGGAGGACAAGACCATTGAGAATTACGGTCTTAACGCTGTCTGTACGCATCTAGGTTGTGTTGTACCCTGGAACAAAGCTGAAAGCAAATTTATTTGCCCGTGCCACGGCTCCCAGTATGACAAGACAGGGAAGGTCGTGCGTGGCCCTGCACCGCTTTCTCTCGCCTTGGCGCATGTTAAGGAAAGTGATGGGAAAGTCCTCCTCACTCCTTGGACAGAAACTGATTTTCGAACGGACACAGCCCCTTGGTACGTGAAGTGGGAAAATTGATCTAAATCCAGGTGCATCGCCTTTCGTGTTTCACGACTTACATCCCTTCCATGCCATTTCTCCTACAATCAGGTGGAAGTAGGCTGAACACATGGTATCTTACGGAAGTGTGTTAATTGGTCACGGGGGAAGCAAGGAAGATAGAGCCCGCGCGTTCATCGACGGAAGGAAACTATGAAGGAAACCATGTTTAACCCTGGAATGCTCTAGATGAGAGTTGTGGGCTGACGCCAGGCAGGATCGGGTCCATTGTGTACAAAGCGCACCCATGAGTGCTTGTCTGTGATGGAGCGTCTGGTCATCTGGAGTCGGCTGCTTTGAAGGTCTTACTGTTCCTCTTAAACATGGCTTGTGAAGAAGGCAGTGACAATGCGTCTTGAAAGGGCAAGAGACAAAGCTATATCAGTCACATCTTTTTGGTTTTCTCGCTGTCGCTGTGATATAAAAACAAAATGCTATCAAACAACATCTAGTTGAGACAACGAGGCCACACTGCCTAACAAATCGGTGATTCTCGTGGTATGGTGATGGTCGTTGACGGCTAGTGAGGATCCGAAAAGCTCTACAAGGCCCGTCCAGCGACAACGCTATCTCCGCCCCTTGCACAAGCGAGCGCTAGAACGACACACGTCGTCGACTCGCCGATCTCATCCACCTGGCAGTCCGTCCAAATCACGCATTGCTAAGATTGTAATCGAGACCTTCGGTGACTCTTAGAATACAAAAATATCAGGAGCTTGATATGGGGCAAAACGCTTACGAGAAGATCCAGATGGCCTTGTCATGGCCAAATACATCTCCATAAGGGTAGATCGCTCGCCTACTTTCGAGATGCATGCAAGTTGAAAAAATCATTCGAGTTTCAGCACGAAAAAAAGTGCGTTTCGTAAATACAAAGGTTTCCCGAAACATATACCTATCGAATGAATTTATCTTGTTTTGATCACCTGCATTACATCGATTTTATACTTTAGCGTACCCTAGCATCCTTCTTGGATAATGCTTGAATAGACATCTTCGTCAGGGTTTTTTTCTCCTCCCCCTTACCTGATGCATTCTTTCTAATATACTCTTCGTCGTCAATATTCTGAAACTCCATCTCCTTCTGCCCATTTCTTTCGAAAAGAATATCTCATCTTTCTTGTGTCATTCTTCAACGTTCGATTTTTCATATCTCTTCGACGTCGCCACCCTTCCATCCCTCGATATAATGAGTACTTTCTGAGTCTCTATCCAAATTTGCGAGATCTCTGAAATCTTAAACATTCCTTACACTGCTGAGCTGTCAACTTCTGATACCGTAACAATAAAACGAGATCCACGGCAATAATGAGAAAGGCCACAAACGTCATGGCAACTGGCAAAAAGCCCCCCAGTTGATCAACAGGGAGTAAAGTAATGCCTATGGCTGTAGGGACAATGCTCATAAACGATCAAAGCAGGTGGTAATATAAAGTGCAAGTTGTCTACCCTGTATAGAATCTTGCAAGACGAGTCCTGAAAATAGATCGAATAAATTATTGCTCTCTTATCAGATAAGGGGCATGGCTAATACGAGAATGCGAAAGAGACTCGAACGCAAGTCAAGGATTCAAATAAAAGAGCATACAGCATGGGATGCTGCATCGTAGAATATTCCAGCTTTGACACGCGCGTGCTGACCTTAAAACGCTGGCTACACAGTTGCAACAGAGTTTTGGAGTGAACAGGTGTAGATACATGTTTTGAACAAGGCAAGGACAGGAGCATGCTGAAAAGGAGAAATCAGACGAGGATGTAAGCAAGTTCTCTTTTCTCTGATCTTTTCAGACACTCGGTCGAAATATCCACGCACTGAAGAGTGTTCGATCGTAGACGAAAGTGATGCACATGAGGGTGTATAAAGTAATATTCAAGCTATCGACTCACTGAAGGTACCTAAGATGGAGATGAAGCCTCTGAAAGGGTCAACCCCGTGAATAAACACAAAGTAAATATTATGTTAACCGAAAAGGATTTCACTCAACGCAGGGTACTGAAAAAAATGCATGTGACTAGCTGCTCTTCCTTGTCCTGGAAATAATGAGCCCCACATTCACGACAAATTTTGCATGGTTTTCCCTTCGTTGCTGGAGTTACTTGATAACTGCCTAATTTTTTTAATCAATCATGACAACTCCAAGAACATCGCAAGGTTCACATGTCTATCAATCTTGAGTGTTCTCTGCATATCAGACTGACTTATCAAAGGATGGGGTCAAAATGATCTCTTCGGCTTTTTCTAAATTACTTTACGTCCTACAAGCAATACTCGAGAGAATCAAATAAAACTGTTCCACACCAAGGAATGACTTAATTGCTCGGTGCAAAATTCTTCTCAAAAAAGCTGGGATGAGAAATGATATCACCCCTGGACACAGAGATGAGATTTTTGAACTCTGTGCAAGAGCAATGTTGAGTCAAACTCTCCGTCTTTTTTGTTATACTTTAAAGATAATAATTTTCTTTGAGCAAATCATGATAAGTTGCGGGAAAAAAAAAATCTCATAATTCTCTCAAAGATTCGTTCAAGTTTCTCATAGCATGGTGAAGGCTTTCTTTTTAGACTTTTCGAACGAGTACAAGGGAATCCTTGACAGTCCCAGGCGTTAAGAAAACGTAAGCTTGTATTTTTGCCGATTGTAGGCCGAGAAATGCATTGTAGACACCTACTTTGTATAAGCGCAAGCATATTATAATCAATTCGGTCTCAACAATTCAATAAAGCACACATAGCTGCTTTTCAAATATTAATACTTCTAAGGAGGGAACACGAAAGCGTTTAAGATTATTATATATTTGTTTGCTCAATTCATCGTTCATTATTGCATCATTAATTAGACGTGTCTCTTCACTTCATACTTCAATTTTTTGACAATTAACTCAGCATTTTTGTACACCCACTCGACGCGAGTCATATAATTTTCAAGACGTGTGGTGATACAACTTATATCATCCTCACCAGCAATTTTTCGCCCTACAAAGTACGCAATATTGCTCAATATTCTCAGATTTACGAGAGTTGGCACAGCTTCTATTTCTTCATCGGTGAGATTTGCGTGTATCATATAGCCTTCAATAAAGTCATCAAAATATTTTTTTGCCTTTGGTTCACCAGCATACTTACTCAAACATACGGCAAGCTCCATTGCGCGGTAATCTACGGCTGCGAATTCGAAATCGAGGAGCCCCGTTACTTTTCCATTTTCTACCAGCACACTGTAATATTCGTAGATTCTCGAGTCATTCGTTTACCCAAACAATACTCAAAGCGATTGCGATAATGCAGGGAAAAAGCCTGCAATATCATACTTTACTTCAAATGCATCCGTGTAGCCCTGAGAAGTTTAGGGTACTTACTTGTCATAATGAAGGTCAGCATGCAACA